AGCAACTAGTGTACGCAGGTATGCCCACTCTGGTAAAGAAGGTAGCACTCAGCTTGCAGGGCTAGTGGCCCCTGATGGCCGCCTCCTTCATGGATTTGTCCAAGCCCCCTTTAAAGCCATCCAGATTAGTGGTCATCCCCATGTCTTGTGGCAGGGAACTCCATAGATTAACTGTGTGCTGTGTGGAGAAGGACTCCTTTTTATCTGGCCTGAACCTCCCACCAATCAGCTTCATGGCATGACCTTCAACCATTTAGCAGTGGGGGAAAACCCATGCAAAAGCTGGAAAAGACATGTATCCTCCTGGAGAATTGCTGGTCCGTGAAAGAAATTAGGAGGGTAGGTATTCGGAGGAGGGCTTTCTCTGTGGTGGTGCCTAAGTTATGGAATGCGCTCCCCAGAGAGGTCCGCCTGGCGCCGTCATTATTTGTTTTTTGGCGCCAGGCGAAGACCTTTTTATTTAAGCAGCATTTTAATTGTTAATATTATTGGATTTTATCTGGCCAGGGTGGCTTATTTTATATTGGTATTTTTGTATTTTTAACTTAATGTTTATATTTTTAATTTAATGTTATAATTATTTTTTAACTTATTGTTGTAAGCCGCCCCGAGGCTTTGGCGAATGGGGCGGCATAAAAATGTTTTAATAAATAATAAATAATAAATAAAATAAAGACCACAGGAGGACAGGTATGGCCTATGGTCCTGAGGCTCCCCACCCTCAGCATGTACAGGTGTCAGTGCATAAACAAACACAGGCGTCAATTTTCTCTTTAAAACATTCTTTTCCCCTGTAGGACAGGTGGGCAGCATGTGGCTCTCCAGATGTTTTGGCCTACAGCTTCCTTCAGCTCTAGCCACTATTGCCAATGGCAAGGCATGATAGGAAATGTAGAGCAAAACCTCTGGAGAATCACAAGTTGCCTGCCCTTGCTCTACAGGATGGAAGCACTAAAGGAACAACATCCATTTACTTCCCCTCGCAGGTGTGGTGGTGAGGTGTTGGAAGGCAGAGTTGGGTTTGCCCTGTACTGTGAAGAGAATGCCTGGGATGCAGTGAAGATTCAACTGCTAGTCCAGATTTTGCACATGGGATGGGCAGGGATGCTATCCTGTCCTTTGCTTCTGTCAGCATAATGTCTTAGGGCAGCCCTGGTGGATGTGCAGGTGCAGCTTTGTCAAAGGAAGGACAGCCTTTTAGTGGCAGGGTGGTTAGAATATATATTGGACTGGGGGCCTGGGAGATGCAGGTTCTATTCCCTGCTCAGCCCTCAAGCTTCCTGGATGTATTTGGGCCAGACTTTCACTCTCAGCCTCACAGGTTTCTTATTGTGAGAATTAAAAAATGGAGTGGACAAGTATTATCATTATATTACATGCCTGTACCACCTGTAACCAAAATCTCTGGGTGGTTCACAACATTTAAGTTACCTATCCAGATTTCAACCAGGCCCAACTCTGCTTAGTATCCAAAATTAGACAGGATTGGGCACTTTAGGCTATATAGAAACTATAAGTATGTAAGCCACCTCGAGTTCCTTGCTAGAGGAAAAAAGATGGTATAAATGCAAAAAGAAGAAGAGTGGAATGAGGGCATTGTATTCATCTTCCAGAACACCAGAGGTACAAGTGATGTGTCAAATGAAAACAACCCACTTTTTACAGTGTTCTGTACAGATGGGTATGTGGTATTTCTTTGTTAAAAGTTCTATGACTCATTTCCACTATAAATGGTATTCAAAGATGTTTTGCTGCAAAGCATTAAAGCGATATATATTAAAAACTCAACCACAATATATTTCAAACTCACTGCTTGAATTGCACTTATGGGGAGGGACCACAGCACAGTACAAGAGAACATGCTTTACATGCAAAAGATGCTGGGGTATATCTGTGTAGGGCTGGGAAAGATGTGATTGCCTGAAATTCTGCCAGGTTCACACATTCTGGCAAGTGACCCAGTGTGGTTACGATGGTTCAGCTTTTGACCAAGATCTTCCTGAGAGACAACTATAGAAACTATTTTCTATATTGGCTTGGTTTCCATCCTCCCCAACTCAACCATGCACTGGCAACATGTATCCCATCAGCCACCTCTACTGAAATCCCATTCCAAGGTATGGTGCTCCCTGCCAGCATCAGCTGCCTCTTCCTCATTGTGATTCTGCAGATACCTCAGCATTATACAGCCCATCTCTGCCTGTAGCACCAGACTGTGGAAACATTTCATGTTGTAGTACTCTTTGCCCCTGCCTGGTGGGAGGGGGCAAAACTCACATGTGCATGTTTTCCACCCTCCCTCACCCAAGGAAACCCCAGCATCTACTCATTCCCCACCTTGATAATGACTGCCAGATAGAGCTCCTGAATCACATGGGCCTTCCCTTGGAAGATGGGGCTTGTGGTAGATTCATGCTGAATGTGTTGCTTAGCAGAAACCAGCTGAAGCTGAAAGCTAGTTTGTCCAGGGTAATCGCAAAGTGCTGTTGTGAGCTGAGGTTCCTCCCTTTGCTCACTCATAGCCACAGACCTTTCTTGCAAAATGTCCTTTATTGACCAATGCATTTTCCAGAAGCACAAACACCTGGAATGAACCTCTGAGCATGCACAGAGTGGTTCACTGAACCCAATCTAGTATTAACCTCCAAGAACTTTCCACATGAGCATGCCTGGGCCCCATCCCTCTGGGAGGGGCCTTCTGAAAACAAGCCCGGCTCCCCTCTGCGATTCTCAAATTGGGCTGGCCTCCTCTGTGACATTGCTGTACGTCTTGGTTATTCCCAGGGACTGCCTGCCCACCTGAGGAGTCTGGCCTTCAGATAAGCATCTCTGCTTCTCTCAGCTCAATGTCTGGAACTGGCCCTCATTCTGAGGCCCCTCCTGCTCTTCCTCCTCCTCCTCTGAAGTCCGGCCAGGCGGCCTTGAGAATGTGCGCCAAGAGCAACAGTCTTTCTCACTCCCAACAGGTGCTTCCTCAACTCAATCACACACCTCATTACCATATATTGCCACTGGATGACTGGCTCAGTTTCAGAAGCGATGATCTCAAAGGTGGCCCTGGACATGCGGAAAACACCATCAAGGAGAGCCATCTTCCCAAGCATCCACCTCACAGAAATCCACACCACCTCCTTGCGAGGAAGGGCCCAGTGCTGGAGCAGGCTTCTGTCCACATTCAGTTCCTCAGCCCCCAAGGAGGCAGCCGTGGCACTTCTCTGCCAGTCGGAGCTGGCAGTCGTAATCGCCAGGAGCTGGCTGAAGAAGGCACGAGGCCCTGTTCCCCTCCGTCCACAGACCCAGCTTGCAAAACGGGCAGGGCCTTCTGGGCATCTGGCCAGAATAGCCATCGCCCCACGTGGGTGGTGCCTCGTCTCCAGACTGCATCTCTGAGCGGGCAGGCCATGGAGAGGCAAGCACATCTGGAGGGCTGCGGGCAGCCGCCATTTACAACTCTCCTTCCTCCTCCAGTCTGGTGCTGCCGCTGTGCCCGGAGAGTTATATGAGGGGCAAGAAGCAGGGGGAGTGGTGTGGGTGAGGGGAGGATGCAGACGCTTCGGGGGGGGGGGTTATGTGCTGAAAGGAGGGATCAGAGCAGGTGGTTGCAGAAGCCGGAATGGGCAGGTACGCAGTAGGAGATGAGAAGCAGTAGAGGAAACAGACAGGAAAAGCCGCGCACATCATGCTAGAGTGCAAGAGCCAGGGAGCATGTCGTGCCGCAGAGTGGCAGGAGGCACGGTACACATGAGCCAGTGCAATGGGGCTGGGGCTGGCTCTGGAAGAGAAGGGCTCCACCCTGCTCGGGAGGCTGATGGCCAAGAGTCAGTCACGGCCGTTGCTTTTCCTGCACATCAGCACAGAACTCTGCTGAAAGAGGTGCACTGCAGCACTGAGGACAGGAAGGAGAAAGGAGGGATGCGAAACCAGAAAAGATGCCCAGCTTGATACAAGACAAGCACCCATCCCAGATGGAACCTCCCTGTTCCCTGTGGCTCATCTACTTTATGTTGCATATGTGTCCATTTATGTCTTTGGCGACTGCACATAGGGTGCAAGATGAGGGCATGACAATCCTCTGCCTCCATTGTTAGGAAAATTGAGGAATGGATTGCTCACACCTCCTTATCCAGCAATTCCCTAACCTGGGGAGGAATAGATTAGATCAGTCCAACTTTTCCAGGAGGAATGACCTTGCTGCTTGGCACCATCACCCCCTGATGCTAGGCAGAGAGGTTGGAATATAGCACAGAGAGAAGCAGGAGTGTAGGGGAGCATAAAAGTATGAAAAGAAGGATTACTTAACCTTTATGGCATGGGTCCTCAAACTGCAGCCCATGGGCTGGATCTGGCCCACCATGCCCATTTATCCGGCCCGCCTCAGAGGTTTCGGACTCGCTCAGAGAAAACGATCTCTGAGCGAGTCCAGAAGCTCTGAGCCAGTGCAGGCGTTCTTTAAAACTGAGCAGAGAGAGAGCCGGCACATGCCCAAATTGCAACAGCTCAACTGCACGTGCGCCAGCTCTCCCCCACCCCACATTCCATGCATATACAGAGCAGGAATATGGAGCGGGAAACAGAAGAGAGGCAGGCGGAAGAGAAAGAGAGATGAAGATGAAGAAAGGATTGAAGGTAACAAAAAGATATCTTTTAAAATCTATTTTAAATTATGCAAGCCTGGGGGCAGCCAGGCCCACGCCCACCACTTCGCTGTGCCCTCCGCCTTGCCGCACCCGCCACTGCCTCCTCACTAGCCCATGCCCACCGCCGCCACCACTTCACTGGCCTGCACCCACTGCCACCACCACCTCGCCAGCCTGTACCTGCTGTGGCCACCGCCTCACCGGCCCACACCCGCCGCCTTTCATCTGGCCCCCTGTTGAAAAAGTTTGAGGACCCCTGCTTTATGGGTACTGCTGCTGCCTAAAGGTGTCCTGAGCCTTTTGGGGGGCGGGGTCCTTCTTGGCTGCTCACTGGGCAGGTGTACCTGCCACTTCTAGCACATCTAACTCAGCAGTTACCTCTGCATGCATGCATGCAGCTTATTCTCATACTGGGATGCAGCATGCAAAAAGCTCCTTGTTTTCAGCTGCTTCAAAAGCCAAGAGAAGAGCTGGTCATGGTGTGTGGGTCTCAAGGACTCCTGGGCTGGTCGATGCATGTGCCCAGTTCTTCTTCAGTCCAGAGTAACAGCCCATGCTGCACTGGGAGGCTTCAGTGCTTTGGGGAAAGAGACTGGGTGTTAGCCTCCTCTCCATGGGAGCCTAGGGATGTGAGTCAGGGATGGAGCAAAGTGTCTCTCAGGAGTGTGCTTTCCTGGGGCAGCCCTTGTCTGCAGCTCCCTGGGAATGTGCGTTGGCTTTTGGGAATGTGTTTGTGCCACAGAGCCTTTTGAAAGTCCCAAGATATATTGTAGACAATATATGAGAGGAAGGGAATGAAGGAGGCAGAGTGGAGGTCATTGTTTTTTCAGGGGACACTCAAAAAGTGTAGGAGAGAGGCCATGGCACACGTGTTGCGAGGCAAAGCAGGATAGTAGAGGCTGGATGGCTGGAGGAGCTCCTGCAGTTGCCACTCTTTTCAAGGGACTCTGTGGTACTTGCATTCCCAGACAGTGGAAACCACAATGCAGGGTCCAGATATTGCAAAAAGCCACTGTGATATGGAGAAACCAGAGAACAAACAATTATTTCTTCGCATGATTTCTAAAGACCAAACATACCAGACTGAAACACCATGACCAGGTTCAGACAACATGACAGACAAACCATGGTGGAAAACCACCATGGCTTGTCATGTCATGCAGACCCAGCCAATGCCTGGGTTCACAAGCCACAGCAAAGAACACTATGCGGTTTCTGTAGCATGTGGATATTTCCTCAAAATCACCAGTCGGATGCTCATGTGGTTAGCTGGGCAGTGCAGTTTCTGTGCTTCCTGCTCTGTCCCCTGGCTTCACCATGCTTCCTGGCACCCCTCATAAGTGGAATCCCTGTCCTTTCCCTAAACTTGCCTATGGATCACAATAGCCTCCTCCTGACTGGTCTGCTGTGGCAGGTTCCCCTGTCCCTGTTCTAAGTGCACTTGCATGTCTGTGGCACTTCCCAGCTGCTCCAGCTCCCACACTGATTTCCCTTACATGAGAAAAAGCAGCTATGCCACAGTTCCCCCATCTCCCTCTGTGTATTTTTGTGCTGTTTCTCTGTTTCCAAAAGTAAACAGAAAGATGGATGTATCACTCAACCAATGCTAATAAAGTGGGCAATGATGCATCTGTTTCTAGGGAGCTAAGGGCAGTAGAGATTGAAGGCTAGAAGTGGTCGCTTCTGCAGCTGCTCTTGCTAGGGACTCTATGGTATTGCCTTACCAGCAATAGTAAAATGGTGGTCCCATGTCTGGATGACCAGAAAAGCCATGATGAAGCATGGAAACCTTAGAACAGACCACTGACTTTCTCTGTGATTTCAGAAAACTAATCCTATCATGCAGGAACTTCAGAACTCAGTATGGACAAGGCAACACACCTACAATGGTAAGATTTCACCATGGCTTCACATGTCATGTGAACTCACTCAGTAAATAGAGTGGGTTATCCTACACTAGCAGACTGACTTGGTCAAAGGCAGCTTCCTATATTCCTGAGTAACCATTCAAATGCAGCACAGTAGCTGGAAGACAGTTCCAGCAGCCAGAATGCTAACCCAAAACAACAATCAAGCGAATAAACAAAATCAGAGGATATAACAGCATTAAGCTGTGCCTTAAACGCCACAATAAAAAGGGCAGACTTTGCTGCTTAAAATAAATAATAAAGGTGCCAAGTGGATCCGTAGGTAAGGGACAGTCACAGAAAAGGCCTTCTCTTCAGTAGCTCTCTGCCAGATTTCAGATTTCTCTTGTTGGACAGTTTCCTATAGGAACAGGCAATTGTAATCCCAGGATGCTTTCGTATATGAGGCTAATAAATCACTGTTGGGCTGCTGCAAGCTACAAGTGGAATTGCATCCGACGTTCCACATTATCAGGCATATTGTGCTTTCCCCTGCAAATTCCACTATATGTTGCCTACGCAGTGAGTGTGACATCACTGCTATAGCTGGGGAAATTTCGATCCACCTGAGCAGCCATTTGAAACAAACAACAAGAGCTTTTAAAAAAGGAATCAACTTGTTTGTTTAGCATTTATGATGTTCATGTGCTATAGCCCTTTGCTATACAAGATATAAATGCACGCATATATACATACAGTGTTTAACCTTTATTCTGGATCAGAATTGTAGACTGGAAGTGGTACATTAGGATCTCCCCTGCACACTTAACACACATACACAGTGCTAAGACGACTAGACTGGACCATGCTAAATAATAAGGACTAGACAAAAGTGTGTATAGTCAAGGCTATGGTTTTCCCAGTTGCAATGTATGGCTGTGAAAGCTGGACCATAAGGAAGGCTGAGTGCCAAAGAATTGAGGCATTTGAACTGTGGTGCTGGAGGGGACTCCTGCGAGTCCCTTGGACTGCAAGGCGATCAAACTGGTCAATCCTAGAGGAGATCAATCCTGACTGCTCTTTGGAAGGCCAGATCCTGAAGATGAAACTCAAATACTTTGGCCACCTAATGAGAAGGAAGGACTCCCTGGAGAAGACCCTGATGCTGGGAACAATTGATGGCAAGAGAAGAAGGGGATGGCAGAGGATGAGGTGGCTAGATGGAGTCACTGAAGCAGTTGGTGTGAGCTTGGGTGGACTCCGGGGGATGGTGGAGGACAAGAAGGCCTGGAGGAATGTTGTCCATGGGGTTGCGATGGGTTGGACACTAACAACAACAACAACAACAACCACAACAGATAAGATGTGCTGAGCACCTTTCAGCTGAAGGACCCAATGCAATTTTGGAAAGTTCTTGGGAGCTGGACCAAAGCATAAAAAATGCCAGCATTTTACTGCCAGCAACTAAACTGTAGGAAAAGCATTTCTAGTTTTGGAATTGGGAAAGTCACAAAACAATTGGCAGTTTCTTTATTTACTTAATTTCTATATTGCCCATACAGCCAAAATGGCTCTCTGGGTGGTTCACAAAGAGCAAATAACCAACAACAGAAAGTAAAATACAAATAAAAAGATCAGTAACTTTCAAATATAAAATCAGATATAATAATATAAAAAACAACAGAAGGCCTACAACAACCGCAATCAAAGATAGCTCAAAGTTACATCAGCAGATAAATACATAGAGCATAAATGGAGGGTAAAAATTGATTGTAAAAGAATTAAAATAATTTAATCATTAAAATGTTGGGTAAATAAAAAGGGGTTTGCCTGGCACTGAAAAGAATAGCGAGATGGAGCCAAGCGCACCTCTTTGGAGAGCTGATTTCACAATCATGATGCTACTGCCGAAAAGGCCCTTCCCCAAGTTGCCACCCTCTTTATCTCCTTAAGAGGGGGCTCTCTGAGAAGGAGCTCAGACAATGACCCCAGGGTTTGGGTAGGCACAAATGGCAGGAGGTGTTCCTTTAGGTAACCTGGCTGCAAGCTGTTTAGGGCTTTAAATATTAGTGTTAGCACTTTGCATTGGCAGCTGAGGAAGGCATGGAGCTAGGGAAGGGGTCGTGGCTTTCTGGAAACTTCTGGAAGGCTAGACTTTAGACTTGGCCTAGCAGGGTTTTGCACCATTGAACTTTATGGATGAATGCTGTTTCTCAGGGGAAAGCAACTTCATAGGTGACCTTGGGCCAGTCACTGACTCTTAGGCTAACTTACTTCACAGGGTTGTTGTGAGGATAAAATGGAGAGGAGAAAGAGGATTATGCAAGAGCTGCCTTGAGTTCTATACCTATACAAGGAATAGTTAAGCTGCCTTGAGTTCCTTGGGCTATAAATCAATCAATCAAGTTCAAAGTTGTTGCACTAATGCATATGACATTCTAGTTTGAAGCCATACATTGCTTGTTGTTTGAATGCAAGTTTCTTAGATTTTTAACAACCCAAACATACAAGAAGAATCTTCCAGTCCCTCCCCAGTGTTGCACTGGCTCCTGCTAAAATCCATGCAAGTGAAGATCCAGTCATCACCTGAGAAGGCAGATAGAACTTCCATCACTGCATGTGTCTCCAACTGGCTCTCTTATGTCTCTTTCTCTGGCTAGTTGTCACATTAGCATGACCCTCCAAGACATTTTGGAGGGGCAGAGGATAATGTGTCACAACTAACTGATGCTGTAGGATTCACCACATCAATTACGGAGAGGGAAGGTGGACCATTTGAGTGCTCTGGGAATTGCACTCAACCACAGCTGTTTTCTTCAAGTTTCTGGAAGACATAGTGTCAAAGAACTCTGTGTTGTATTTTCCTAAATCCCACCTGATGAAATTGACACAAAGTTGGCCACCAAAGCTGCTATAGAGCTATAAATGGGTCCACCTTGACATGTGCGATCAGATTTCAAAGGAAAGCACAAAACTAATGGCCAATTAGAAGTGTTCCCTTTGGACATGAGCTTGCCCAAGTGATCATGTCAAGTGAAACTTTAGAAGTTGTCGATTCTCCAAGAGGCTGTTTTTGTCTTCTCTGAGATGAAGGGTTGACATTCTAAAACATGTTCTGTTCCATTTGTAAAGAAAGGTGTCACACGACCAGCAATCAGTCTAGTTAAGACAACAATCTTCTCAAAACCATTCTGGGTATTATTTTCACATACATTTTCATATTGGCTCCAAAATTCAGAGTTTATTATCACTTCCCGTTCATATGTTGAGGTAAAAGTGGGCAAAGGACACAGATAAGAGTGCTAAATACTAAATACTCTTAATAGTAAGAACCCCATTCCTATTTAACAAGGGAACCTATCCAGTTCTTAGGTGTCAATTCTAAACACACTTACTAGGAAGTAATGCCCACTGAACATAGAATTTTATGATAAACATTAGGGTTTGGGCAAACCCTTTCGGAATCTGCCCCTCCAGAATCTGTGGACTTCCTTTTGCTCTCAGCCTGGTCCCTGAACTCAGACTCGGAACCACTGCAAAGCAAACTGGAGTCCAGGAAACCAAAACTAGAGAATCTTGTGGATTTTCCACATGAGACAGATTCCTTGCACATCCCTAGTAAACATGCTTCTTGTTATTAGTCGCGAAGTCGTGCCTGACCCATCGCGACCCCATAGACCACATTCCCCCAGGCCTTCCTGTCCTCCGCCATCCCCCAGAGTCCACTCAAGCTCACACCAACTGCTTCAGTGACATGCTAAACATGCTTAGGATAATAAAATGTGTATTTGTTATATTTACTAATTTATTTTCTACCCTGCCCATTTGCCAGCATGGTTCTCACTTATATAGAAATGTGGTATAGAAATCAAGGTATTATGATTATTGTTAAAGAATAAATGGTGTAGGAACAAGTTGTAAGAAGAGGTGTGGCTTCTCCTGAATTGTGCTGAGGGGCTACCTAGTCAAGACCATCAGTTGCTACAGACGGGATGGCCATGCTAGAGCTGAATGTCCATTTGGATGGGTCATCTTGTCAGCCATCTTTCAATAGGACATCATCCTTCCTCTGGTAAGTGGCCTTGCTATTCATCTATAAGTGTGGTGGATGAACACCATGAAGAGGAATGACAGGATGCTTACCTGTAGCTGTAGTTCCAGGGGTCACCTGCACATTCGCACGAAACTGCCTATGGTGCCCACATTAGCATTTCTGATATCTCTACATGAAAAGCCAGTGCTCAACATTCTGTCACATTGTGTTGTGATGAAGAAACACTACAGAGGGTTCGTAGCTCAGTAGAAACACATCTGCTTTGTGTACAGAAGGTCTGAGGTTCAAACCCTGTTATTTCCAAGTAAGGATAAGAAAGAATCTAGTCTGGAACCCTGAGCAGCTGCTGCCAGTCAGCCAGATGGACTAAAGGTGGGATTAAGTGATGTGATTTGCACATCCCACCAGCAATTCCTGGGCTGTTTAACCAAGGAATAGCCAGGGATGAGCAGCGCATGTGAGCCATTTTCATTTTTAATAAATGACCAAGCCCCATTCATGCATTTTTGTGATATGCGAACCTGAAAACTTTTGATTGTTTATGGGATGAACAATTGGAGGTAACCCAGCAACATACCATGAACAATTGTTGAGTTAGCTCTGGGTTGTTTAACCTATAAAAAACGCAGGGTACGCAAATCATGAAACAACCCATTTCTGGGTTGTTTAAAAGTAGAAATGGTCTCCTCTTATCTCCAGAAATTCCTGAGTTAAAGCAGTCCAATAATTGCTGCTGTTAAGTACAATCTGGGCAAATATAAGAACAAAAGAAGAACTGTGCTGGATCAGGCCCAAAGTCCATCTAGTTCAACATTCTGTTCACCATGTGGGATTCCACAAGCAGATTGGAATGCAACGGTACTCCTTCGTCCAAATTTCCCAGCAATGGCATACTGATTCGGTTGCTGGAGGAAACACATAGCCATCATGACTAGTAGCCATTGGCCCCTCAGAGAGCATTATGCTAATGGGTGACTTTTATGCACATTTAATAATAAATCATAGAATACTAGAGTTGGAAGGGGCCATCGGGCCCAACCCTCTGCTGCTGCAGAGGGCCCAGTTTACTCCATCCCACTCAGATGGCTCTCCAGTTTCTTTCTGAATGTCTCTAGTGTGGGAGAGCCACCACCTCTCTAGGCAGCTGGCTCCACTGTTGTATTGCTCGGACAGTGAGGAAACTTTTCCTGATATCTAGCCTGAACCTGGGTTGTCGCAACTTGAGCTGATTATTCTTTGTCCTACACTCTGGTATGAGTGAGAAGAGATCTTGTCCTTCCTCTTTGTGACAGCCTTTGAGGTACTTATAGAGGGCTATCATGTCCCCCCTCAGTCTTCTCAAGGCTGAAAATACCCAGTTCTCTCAACCTTTCCCCATTGCGCAACATTTCTGTTCATTTTTGTTGCCCTCCTCTGGACCCTTTCTAATTTTTCTGCCTCTTTCTTGGTGCCCAGAACTGGACACAGTATTCCAGGTGAGGTCTGACAATAGACAGACAGAGAGACAGACTGAATGAATGAACGAACAAACAAACAAACTAGTAGTCATTGATCACCTGCTCCTCCATGGATTTGTCCAATTTTAAGTCATCCAAATTGGTGGCCATCACAGTATCTTCTGGAAGTGAAATCACAGTTTAAAGATCCACTGTGTGGAGAAGTTCTTCTGTCCTGAATTCCCCATCAAGCTGCTTCATGTGATGAGGCCAGGATCTAGTAGTTTGCGTGAAGGAGAAAAATGTCTTATCTATTTTTCCCACATGATGCCTAATCCTGCACACATCTATCATGTCTTTCCAGTTGCCTGTTACTCTAAGCTAAACTATTTCAGCTGTTGCAACTTTTCCTTGCAGAAGAATTGCTCTAAGCCCTTGATCATTTTAGTTGTCCTTCTCTGCACTTTTTCCATCCCTACAATCTCCTTTCTTAAGTGCAGCGACCAGAACTGTACACGGTATCCCAGGTGTGGATGCTGTATTCATGTTTCAGGGCAGTATGATGTTGGCAGCCCTACTTTCTGTCTCTAATGATGTCCAACGTTTTTCTCAGCCAGCATACACTGGGCTAGCATTTTCATGAAGCTGCCCACCACAAACGCAAGAAGCGTTTCTTGGTCAGTCACTGCTAGCTCAAATTCCATTAACTTATACTTGAAGATGGGAGTTTTTGCCCCAGGCTTACATTTGCCTATCCTGAACTGCATTTGCCATTTTGATGCCCAGTCTTTCAGTTTGGAGAGATCCTTTTGGATCTCCTCACAATCACTTTTGGTTTTACCAACCCTATATAACTTGATGTCATCAGGCAAAGCTGCTCTATTGCTAATTCCAGATCATTTATGAATACGTTGAAAAGCATTGGTCCTAATACAGATCCCTATGGGAGCCCACTGCTTACATCCATCCACTGGGAGAAATTACATTTATTCCTACTCTGTTTTTGGTCCTTTAACCAGTTACTGGTGCATAAGAAGACCACTCCTCTTACTCCATGACTACTAGATTTGCTCGGGAGCTGTTGATGAGGGACTTTGTCAAGGGTCTTTTGGAAGTCCAAGCAAACCACGTCTACTGGAAGGCTCGTGTCTGCATTGGCACTCTCAAAGAACTCTGAAAGGTTGGCGAGACACGACCTATCTGTGCAGAAGGCACGTTGGTCCTTTCTCAGCAGTGTTTGCCTTTCTGTGTGCTTACTAATCTTATGTTTAATAACACTTTCAAACAATTTGCCTTCTACAGATGTTAAACTAATCAACCTATAACCCCCTCCCCATCCCTTTCTAAAAAGTAGTGTAACATTGGCCATGCTCCAGTCTTCCAGTACAGAGGCTGATCTTAGGGACATGTTACATATTTTTGTAAGAAGGTCAGCAATTTCATACTCAAGTTCTTTATGAACTCTAAGATGGATACCATCTGGGCCTGGGTTACTTGTTAAATTTCAGTTTGTCAGTAAGATTGAGAAAGCCATCTTTATCTGCCTTAGTTCCACAAACTGTTCCTGAAAATATCAGTTCAGGTTGACATACCTGTCCTGTACTCTCTGCAGTGAAGATAGATTGAAAGAATTCATTCAGTTTCTCTGCAATCTCCTTATCCTCCTTTAGAATTCTTCTAACTCTGATATCATCCAGTGGCTTCTTGCTTCCAATATATTTAAAGAATTAAAATCAGTGATGTGTCTTTAGCAGGAGGCAGGCAGCCTTCAGCAATTTATTTATATATTTAAGACATTTCTATACTGTTCCTATTTAGTCAATGATTATCAGGATGGTTCACAACGTATTAAAACGTATTAAAAATCTAAAACATAACCAACACAGCCATTCACATATTTAAACAGATAACACAAGATAAAACCAATCAAATATCACAATAAGAAATATAAAGTTTAAAATCAGAAATATAATCTAATTAAAATAATTATAAAAATAATGAAATCAAAGCAAATTAACAAACAACCCCAATGTCATTTAAAATAAATAAACTAAAACTGTTTTTTTTTGTTTTTACAATTAAAATACTATGAAAATAAAAAGGTTTAGGCCTGGCACTGAAAGGTATATGGTGCCGGCACCAAGTGCAATGACCTCCCTTCCCACTCATTGACACAACTTTTGGTGAATGGGCTTGAACAGTTTGCTTGAGGCATACCTGAAGGAGTGTCTCCTTCCCTATGTACCTACTCACCCCTTAAGATCTGAGGTGGAGGTCCTTCTTTGGGAGCCCTCCGTGAAGGAGATTAGGAGGGTGGCTACCTGGAGAAGGGCCTTCTGTGCGGTGGCACCCCAGTTATGGAGTGTGCTCCCCAGAGAGGTTTGCCTGGCACTGACACTGTATTCCTTTTGGTGCCAGGATAAAACCTTTTTATTTTCCCATTATTTTAATTAGGTTTGATTAGGTTTTAATGTGGGCTTTATTTTATTGCAATTATTTGGATGCTGCACTTCATTTCATTTTATGCTGCTTTTACTGTAAGACCATCATAAGACACTAGTAGTTGGATAGTAAATAAAAGCTTTACATACATACATACATACCTGGTCAGAGCCTTGGACCAGAAAGTCATGTAACGGGAAGGGACCTAGATGATGATGTAGGCTATCGTTCTGCCAATGCAGAAAATCATGAGCTATAGTACTCAATGGGTGGCCATTCAGCCTCAGTTTAAAAACCTCTAGCAAAGGAGGTTCCACTGTCAAACTGCACCACCAGGGAGTTCTGCCTCGAAATTCCCTTTCCCGACATGCAAACCCTTTGGATTGAGTCCTCCTCTGTGCAGCAGCAGGAGCAACAAACATTTGCTCCACTGTTCATGTGACAGCCCTTCAGACACTTGGAGATGGCTGTTCCATTGCCTCTGGCCCACTGCCGGAGGCACTGAACGCTCAACGGTGAGAGGCAGCCGTGGCTTTCTTGTCCTATTTGTGGGTTTCTTAAAGGCAACTGGTTGGCCACTCTGAGGAGCAATATCCTGCACTGGATGGATCAGTGGCTGGATTTGAGAGGGATGTTCTGAGTAAGGGAGAAATGAAGTTTGAACCGCACCTCTAAGGATCCCTGAAAATTGCTCCTCTGGCATGTCGCATACGCAGACCTTAGGAAGTTCCCCGTTGTCCTCAGTGAGCAGGGGGAAACTTCGTGCACACACTGAATGTATGCGCACACTTGTGCAAGGTTTTGGATCACATCCATTAGAAGCTGACAAATGCCAATGAGGGCTTTTGTTTTGGCACGGCCATGAAAATATTTCCTTCTGAAATCACATGGTGCAGTATCCTAGGATTTGTTCAGCTTTTCTTAATTTCAAAAGCAACAGTCTTTGGAGTGTGTCACCATTCTTTGGCGATTAGGCTGATCACGTGGCTTCTAGTTTCTGTTTCCAGCTGCCACCTAACATTAAAAGAAACTAACACTTAATGCTTGTCTTAATATTACTTTCCATATTTCTCCAGAGTTGCCATGGGGATGTTACGTGATCATGACTAGAAGAGAAAGTGATCTAAGAGGAAGCCATTTCCCTATCTAGCTGTTTTTCATGCTAATTAAATAGAAGGAACTACTTTCAAGGTGATTGGCATAGAGAACCTTTTTGGGGGAGTCCCCCCTTTTCACTCTTCCACCTTGTGATGTAAAGAAAGAAATCCTGGCCTCAGCTCTTGACAAAGAACTTCTGTGCACATTCTAGCTCGCTTATATTAAGGCAACAATTTGTAGGCTGCATTCCTCAGGGCTCTTTAGGATGTCCCTCAATGAGGAGATCAGTAATGGGAAACCAGCTGCCCAAACGACAGCCATCAAGGGAGTGCCATTTGTGCAAGGAATGGGGGAACTGTGCACTGCATGCAATTTCCTCAGCCGATTCACCGTGTGGGAGTCCAGGTAGCTCTGGTTATAAACTGATTTGTGTTTGTTGGCAGTTTGGGGGGGGGGGGGGGGGGCCCCGCGGGCCGGGGTTTTTTTTTTTTCCCCCCCCCCCCCCCGTCAAACAATCAGTGGTCACTTTGGACTAGGGACAGCTTCTCTGTTGCCAATCTTCTGCTAAAATAGCGGGAGGAAAACTCTAAGCCCATGGGCCTAATCTGGCCAGTAGAAGTTTCCTAATTGGCCAGCAGAGGGTTGAGACCCCTCTTCAGGCCCTCCCCCCTCCCCTCCCCTCCCCTCCCCATATCTTGCCCCCTTGCTTCAAGGCTAGGAAAACTTGGGGAGAGGAATTCCCTTGTTATCACCTGTGCCCTTGCTTAATCTTGTGTTACCCCTTTCAGTTTGGATGAAGAGAGGTACTCTAGGAATCATAGAATCATAAGAGTTGGAAGGGGCCTAGCAGGCCATTTGGTCCAACCACCTGCTTAATGCAGGACTCAAGTTTCCCATCCAGATTCCAGCCAGACCTGACCCTGCTTAGCTTCCAAAATTAGGCAGGATCAGGCACTTCAGGCTATATGGAATCACTAGGGTTTTATTGGGGGCCCTTTTATTAGTGAAAGCACTAATTGCTTTGCCCACTCCATAACATTTCCCAAAGGGGAAGGCATGAAGTCAAGGAAGCTGGTCCCCAGCTGAGGCAAAGCAGGTTGGGGTTGTGACATCCTCCCTCCTCCCACTGTTCAAGTCCTTTTTTCCATGCTGAGAGAGGCATGAGAAAGCTAAAATGGATGGGGTGGAGTGATGTTGGGAGTGGATGGGTCCACCTTCTGCCATCATTCAACCAGTGGTGGTGAGCAATTCGCCCCCACATAAAAAACCTGCTCCCACTCCTGCTATAAAATGTGCAATTAGAGGGAGAAGATGATGTGAAGCCCTGACATCAAGATTTCTAACTGTAAAATATGTAGATGGCAACCGAATGCCATGTGTTTGTGTGTGCATGAGAGAATAGCTCAATCTTTCTTTTCCTGGTATCCTGGTTTGGAATGATAGGCACTGTAGTGAAATAGATATGGAGGGCACCCTAGGAAGACAGATAACCACATGCCTATCTGTCTGAACACACACACACACACAAATGAGATAGCTAAAGAATAGTTTTAGCATCTCGTCTGCTGTCTGTATAAACTAAAAACTCACCTCTGTATATTCTGTTGCGTAAGCTAGATTTTGCAGGAATTCAGCAACAACTGTTGAACTATTTCTAGAGCTTTTGAAGTCACCGAATCATGTTGGTTTTTCCCCCTTGACTCAACTTCCCTGCCCTTTGTTAGATTTTATCTTTCATAAAAGAGCTTTTTTCTTCTCTAGGCGATTTTTATCCTGAGCCTTCAAATCTCATTGTCAGCCTCTCTCAGGTTGTCTACCAGACACCATCTGTGCCCTGCCACCAATGGAGCTGTTTCAAAGCATTACACCTGTTAGGGAGAAAGATTTACTTTCAGAACATCCTTACACAGATTTCATTTTCACCTCTAAACAACACACAGAAAAGCAAGTGGCTCATTCTTTGCCAAACCATTCTGCGCTCACCAAAAGATCTTTCTAGCTTATCTTTGCAGATAAGAATCGGTTTAAGCCACATATGCCAAATGCAAGCCTAGTTTGATCCTGTTTTTGCAATTTGACCTTTAAGGTACTGCAGCAGCAGCACTACACCAAAGCAGTGTATGAGAAATGCCATCTTTTTAAAAAATGCAGACGTTGTCAACATGAAGTAAAAGCAACACCTGCAACCCTTGCAAAATGTAAGGTTGAGACTAAACTACAGGTGACATTTGTCACATAGCTTCCCCTTGATTTAAAATAGCTAAATTTGGGTATTTATTTCTTAGGTCTATAAACTGCTCCATGTTCCATCATGGGGATTTTGGAGTGACCAATAAAAGACTCAACAGTTAAATAATATGCTAAAGCAATAAAGCTTGGGCTGATTACTGCAAGAAAGCCTCCCGGTGACAGGTGTGAAAGGATGATTTGAAACAAGGGTGTAAAGAAATGTAAAAGGGTAACAAAGAAAATTACTTCGCCCAAAGGAGGGGAAGGGCTAAAATCAGATAGCACAAGGTATGGGGAAACAGGCACGTAGGCAGGAGGGCCAAATACTTCCTGATTGTATATTGACAAGCTGGGCAGAACAAAATGAGCCTATTGTAGCCCACCGGGGGCAGGGCTGGATTGGGAAGAAGGGCCGGTGTTGGGGCAGCGCGGAGTAGGCGGGCAGAAAGAGTGTAAACTCTCAGTACCCTATTAGCCAATTAGGGGAAAGGAGGAGGGAACAAGCGGCCGGGAGCAGGGTTCAAAAGGGGTGTGTGAACATGTGCTCAGGTGAACAGAAAAATGGGAAGGAAACCATTCCTTTCTGTTCCCTTCATTGCAATACAGTTTTAAAAAGAACTCTCTGCATGCCTGGAATATTTTTCTCTTCCAACGGAAAGGAAAGAGTGATCATAACACTGGAATGAGAGTATGTTCAGGAGGCACCAGGAACAATACCATGTCAGCGCCTGCCAGACCTGACCTCAGAGGCAGGAATTCGGAGATCAGCTACGCTGAAGGCTGCACTTCGGGAGGATTCTGGTCGGGCCACAGGTCCATAGGAAGCCAACAGGGACATGTCATCCACCAATCTCAATGACTGGGCAGCTTTGATAAGGGAGAAAGTGATCTGTCGGGTTCTTTGGAACTTTATACACTAATACAAACCCCCTAGGCCTGCCCCAGTAGTGAACAGGCTGCAAGTGCTGGTCCTTCAGTGAAGGAACTGCTTGCTGAGAAGGGGAAGCTGCTAGCAGAAGCCAAGACATTATGGGCTGGGTCTAGCTTCTGGATCATGCTTAAGGGGAGCCCTACAGAGTGCATTGCAGTAATTTGTATAACTTGAGGTAGACTGGAATAATGGCATGGGGAAGTGTGGAACAGCTTTATGGTTTTGCTCTGCCGTGGTTCTAGAAGGAATCGCCCACCCCAACCCTGCTTGTTTTAATGGAAGAAAAGCTCCTGTAGAACATGTAGGGGCTTGCCCAAACCTGCCCAGGCATGCTAGGTCCCCAGAACAAAGGGATTATCTGTGACCAGCAACACCTTTGAAACCTGAGTTAAGATATGTAGGCAGGATTGAACAATCGCTTGAGTCCCAACCTTTCAGGTAGCCCAGTCTCCCAGGTAAATGTGGGAACTACCCAGAATCAAATGAACCAATCAGCATCTGTGGTGGGAACTTCAAACCAACGAACCTTTGCCATTGCTAACTGGTCAGCAAAAGTTTAAAAGGAGACTGCACCAGGTGTTTTGGGTGAATCGCTCTTTTGCTTGTGATCAAACTATTCCCTAGAATAACATCCATATTTCCCCTTCTAATTCTTGTTGTGCTTGATGGGGCTAGCACACCGAGACTAGACCTCTTGTTTCCTACACTCCCATTGACCTTCAATTCCAGCTGGAACTGTGGAGAGAGATTTCTATGCCACAGTCATGATAGGCCTTCTTATTCCAATCCCATACTAGTTATTTTTTAAATGAATAATGTAAGTGCAAACTATATGACAGATGCCATGTTCAGTTTGGTCCTAAGTGACAATGGATTTTAATTTATTTTATAAAGGGATTTCCTTAAAACCAAATGCTTTTGATCCCGGGTCAGCTATGGAAATGGTTTATTCAGTGGTAGACTATGCAGTGGCAGTTTTAGCCTTCTTTGGAGAGCAGTCTTAAAGCTGCCACATTGAAGTGGCATCCAAAGTTGGCAATAGTTTTTACCACTGGGTGGGCACAAAACCTGTTTGGCAGACAGTGGCCGAGCTTCAGTTTCAACAGGTGACTTCTGAAGAGGTGTTCATTTCAGGCCAGTTTCACAGCAATGAATTAGGCATTGATAGGTTCTCAAAATATTAGGAAAATGCTCTTAAGACAGCAGGGGGGCATGCTTTGGAAAGGTCAATTTGGTGTGGTAATTAGATGTCTTTAAGACATCACTTTTTTTCCCTGAAAATCTGTAATTTTGCAGCTCTTAAACCACAAAATGCTGTTCTTTATGCTGCTATAAAGAGCAAACTAGGCACAATTTAATCTATTTATTAGATATCTATTCCTGTGTTTTTTCTTACAAAGAATTCAAAGTGGCTTCCACAATTCTCCTGCTCTCAATCTTATGTCCACAACAACCCTGCAAGGTAGGTCAGAGTCTGTGATTGACCCAGAATCACCCAGTTGGCTTCATTCTTGAGTGGGAACTAGAACCCAGATCACCCGAGTCCTAGGCCTATGTCACAGGGGCTCTTTGCCACGCTCGCCACTGTTCTTGCCTAGCTCTTGACAGTCTATTTTCCTGATCTATATTCTACCTCATAATGAATGGACACATGTTAAGAAGAACTAATGGAAAATTTGCAGTTGAGGGTTGTTTTACAAGACTGCACATAAATAATTATTTGTTGTGAATGCAGACTCTCTTTATTTCAGTCATTACATTTATATCTCAACTTTCCATGAAAATGATGCCCCAGGCAGCGAACAATAAAGGTTTAAACAAAAGTTGATTAGAACATAACTCAAAAATAAACACACAACATAAATACACAATTGAACATACAATTATGCACAATACAAAAAAGAAATAGGATGCAATGCAATAAAAGCCCCTCCTGCAACAGACCAGTTGACATGCCAAAGGCTTGGCTGAACAGAAATGTTTTTGCCCATGACGGTGGCACTGGCCTCAGTCCAGCATTTGCTTGGGCTGGCTGCTCAAAAATCCATTTCACTGTTTTCCAAGTGTGGCCAGATTCCCTAGTTTAATGGAAGTTGTACTCACATGCCTCCTATAGTCCAGCCTTCCTCAACCTGGCAACCTTCAGTTGTGTTGGGCTAAAACTCCCATAATCCTCCAGACAGCATAACCATTCTTGCTGGAGGGTTATGGAAGCTGTTAATTCAACACATTTGGACAGCACCATGTTGGGGAAGGCTGGGATAGCCAGCATCACTCCAGAGGTGGTAAGCAAAAGAAAAGTAAATTTTGCATAGGTCAGTCTTCAGTGCCCTCCAAATGTTTTGGGACTACATCTCCCAGAATTCCTGACCACTGGCCATGCTGGCTGGTGCTGATGGGAGTTGACGCCAAAAATGTTGGGAGGGAGAGAGAGCCTTATGCTAATTTTCTTACATTTTAAAAAGCCGTATTTTAAAAGTCTGCATACCCACGAGACTCTAAGAACATAAACATCTCACTGGTTCAGAGGAAAATCCAAGTAGTCCAACATCATTCTTCAACAGTGGCCAATAAGATGTATCTGGGAAGCTGCAAAGCAAGGCATCCAACCAAACCCCCAAGGAAAACATCCTTTTCCATGCTAAGTTGAAAATTGCTTTAAAAACAACATTAAGATTATTTCTGGCGCGATAGGATAAGTATGATCTTTACCATGGGCCCCGTCCCACATGCTCCCCCAGGAAGTCACTTCAATTTAACAAGGCTGATTTGGTGGACTTGTGGCTTTTTCAGAGTAGAGGTGGAGAGTGCTATGGAACTGCCAAACTAGCCTCACCATAGACCATGGCAGTAACCACAGAGTTGTGGGGGAAGTGTTCACCAAAGTGTGCTGACCCCATGCTGCCTCCAGCTTATTGAGACTGTATTATTTGTATATGTATCCAAGATAGCATTGCTTTGATGCTTGAAATTCACCCCTAGGAATTGCAGTCCATCCATCATGCTTGAAATGGCAAAAGGGTTTCCACTACAGGATTTGCTGCAGTGCAAAAGTTATGTTTTAAGAAAGGGTGGCAAGTGTGGAGTGGGTGGGTTTTTCCTGTTGCTTTAATTCTCTGGCTGGCTGAGTTCATTTGCATGATTGTTTCATGCTTGTCTGTCTGTCAACATGTATGCCTGCAATCATTTAATACTACTGCTTGGATGAACTGACAACATCCTTTCAATATATGAAAGCATTTAATACTGTCAGCTGTTTCCTGTTGTGTTTATTGTAAGGCAGGCTGACAAAGTGACTGGAAAATCTGTTTCCATTGGAAAACTGTTTAAACAAGGTCAATAAAAATGGAGTTCCATTAAAAGGGCATGGAGATTTATTGAATGGTCAGTAGGTCATTTCCATGTCATTTTAGACTTCAGCCTGTTGGCCCTTTGGACAGTTCACAGAGGCCATGCCTTGCCTATTTTCACTGTGACCTAACAACCTTCTGTGGTCAGAGAGTCCCATGCACATGCTACAAAGACTGGAGTGACACAGAGCAGGAGCTGCCTGGTGGTTAAGATCACTGTTGCCGTGAGATGGTGCAGCCCTCACTCTAGCCTTTGCCAGGGACCAGAGGACTACAGGCCATGAGGCTGCACCCTGCTTCATGTTGAAGGGAAGAGCAATTTGCTCTTGCCCACTGGCCAAAGAAAGAGCACCGATGA